GTGACATAATGTTTATTTTTATTGTTGGTATATTATAGACAAATATAACCCAAAAAAAAATTAAAAGTAGGCCTCAATAAAAAAAAAAGAAAAAACAAAAAAAAAGGACGAGACTTCGTCTTTAGGTGGATTTCCTTTTGTCAAAAATTACCCCTACTTAGTCGTTTTTAGGGTTCCGTACGCAAAGGGAAAAAACTGACCGTCTGTCTACCACCAGGCTGTATCTCCTGATCCATGAAAGCTAAGCAGTTGAAATTTTCATAGCTATTTTTTTTTCTCGATTTTATTTGTGCGCGAGTCAGATTCGCACGTGGCTGGCTTTTTTTCTTACAATTTCGCGCACGTTACTCAATTGATAACACATAGAAAAAAAAAGAGCAATTCATTTGTAAATGAGCTTTAGAGCGCTGAGGGTATATTTTAAATTTACACAATGTTTCACATTTTGGAACGGAAGGCAGTTTTATCAAGGCGATCATGTAACCAGAAAACTGTTTAAAACATCGAGTCAAGTAAAAATTCAAGTGCAAGGGGGTGTTTTTAAGTTCGCGGAATGGAGGGCAAGGATTCAAAATAAAAATACTAAATTATTTTTCTTTTTCAATATATTTACCTGCTATCCTAATAATTTTTTCTTTTAACACTGCTCTTATGAACAGGCGTTGTCGTGAAGAAGAAGGTCACCTTTGGCCAATTTTCCCCTCCTTTTTTCTTTAATGCTTTCTTTCAATGTCTCGAGGATAGAATATTATCAGGTTACAGAAATGACTTTATCTTTATAATCGGTCTACAGGCTCATTTCCGAATCCCAAAACCCTGTTGCCATGATTTTTCCAGCCGATTGTGACACTTTAAACTTCTTGGGTGGTGGTGTGCCTTTTTTGTGCCACTGTATTGGGTCCTGTTTTGACTCATAATGATGAACCCAAGTTTCATCTCCAGTAACAAATCGACTCAATAGTCCATCCTTATCTTCGTCACAGAGATCCAAAAACGTGCGAGCGCCGCGTTGTTTTTGAGGTGGCGTGAGCATTCTTCGCACCCATCTTGCACTGACCTTTGTCATGTTTGATTGATCATGTAGAATTTTGAAAATCTTCGTATCCGATACCCCAACCATTTCTGCAAGCTTTTTCTTCTTTAGTCTGGCATCTATCAATATTATTTTTTCGACTTTTTTAATGATTTCCGGAGTAGTCATCTCGATCGCCCGTCCGGACCGCATGTCGCCTACAAGTGAGGTCCTAAATTGTTTAAAGAGACTGTGCCACTTGTAAACCATGGTTTTACCCGGGCAAGAGTCCCCGTAAACCGATTCCATCTCTTTCAGTATGTTTTGAACTGACTTTCCTTGCTTGCTAAGGAACTGTATTACGGCACGGTACTCGATGTTTTCCATAATGCACACTTTCATTCCGATTGAGTTGTTTGCTTGACGATAGTTAAAAGACTAATATCCCAATTAAGACAAAACCTGGTATTTATACTAATATTGACTGAAGTCGTGGCCACCTTGATAATGAACTATTTTTATCATCTACCCTCCCATTCAGCGAACTTTAAAACGCACCCTCGTATTTGCTATTTACCATTGTTAATTTGATGGTGAGTACTCATATTACTAACAAGCAATGTCAAGGGAAGCATGATTTTGATTTTAGTATGTACAATTGTACATATAAGATTTTAATTATGATTTTATATTATGTGGAGCTTATTAACATTCTATTCTATTATACTCCGACCTGTTTTGTTATTGGCCAACTGTAATGCATTTATGAATTATTATTATTCAATGACATGCAGTTTATTTTAATTTCCTTTTGTATTTAAGCATTTTAGTCATCATTGTAGTCTGAAGAATCAAACAGTGAATGATTGAGAACATTTCAAGAGAAATTATACCAGTTTAAAAAAAAATAGACATTAAACTATTCTAAGAAATAGATGTCTCCAGAGTGTTTAGAACTTACAAAGCTTTAATGTATAAAAAACTAGAAACATTGTCTTATTTTAAATACATACTATATTGATGTTTCTTTACAAAATATATTTGTTATTTATTTTTGTTTATAATAATGGAAAAATATGCAATATATCAGCCTAGTTTGTGACCATTGTAATTACTTTAGAATGGCATTTAGAAACAGTATTCTAAATTAAAATACAGCTGAGAGATAATTTTGCTATCCTCATATTTAAAGTAAGCATATAAACTTATCAAGTCTGATATTGTATAATATGGATTTAAGAATTGGAAGCAAGAAATAACCTAATTTATTTACCTGAGAGATTAGTTTTATCCTGTAATAAACTTCTTTTAATTAGTTTTTATATACTTAGGAAGTTTGAAATGAACCATAAAAGATTTGAGGGCTAAATAGAGATGAATATTAAAAGTTTTGGAAATGTGCCAAAGAGGTTACTATACTGGCACGCTGTGACAAGGTTGAGATTATCGACTGTAAATCCCAAAATTTACATGTTGTGCCATGTTGTCTAATTTTTGTGTGTGAAACAGATTTAGAGATAAGGTACCCTTTAATGTGTAAATTACTGTTGAGATTGTGATAGTCTTAAATAGCTTTATAGCTTTGTGTATGTTAATTTTAATCAATCAATAATATCAATTACTGAAATTTAATAGACTATTGATAGTATACTGTTGCTCTTTAATACAAATTATAACATATTATTATTGTATCAATAAATAAATAAATAAATATTTCCGACACTCACACCAATTAGCCTAGCCCCAAAGTAAGCACTATAAGGCTTGTGTTATGGGATGCTAGGGTAACGGATAGACATATTAAATATCCATGACTGGAGTACAAATGCTCGTATTCATCACACAAACATCTGCCCCCACCGGGATTCGAACCCGGGACCTCTCAAGTCGGCGACAGCCATGAAACCCGGCGTACAAACCACTCGGCCACGGAGGTCGTCATCATCAATAGTTTTGGTATACAGCCCACAAACTTTTCGAGCAATGACTATATGTAGACAAGGAAGCTTGCGCAGTAGCAATTTTAAATATGAATACTGAAAACTTCTACTGTGCTGTTTATTTGACTGTGTTTTACTAAAAAAGTTTGCTGCCAGCACTATTGAATTTTTAGGTCTACTATCTACATATGAAAAAATGGTTTTATTTTCATGATTGCAAATGTAAATTTCTTCAATTTATTTATTTCAATGCACTTACAGGCAATAATATCTACATTACCATTCGATTTTACATCATAAGTATTTAGTCAGGTTAAAGTTGTTGAAAAAAAGGTAAAACTTTGCCAGAACATTCATAACATCTACAATAGTTCAAAATTGCCCACCTGGTGAAACAACCTTCACCTTTTAGAAGACTATGCAGCTAAATAACAGTGTTTAGTTTAAGACCAAAGATAAAAATAATATGGCTCAGTCTGTAATGTGACAACAGTCTGGCATGTAACTCTTGAATGCAACTGCTAATTTTGAAAAACAAATTTAAAAAGGAATTCTAGGAATAAAGGATCTTCTGCCTAAATAAGAGCACCCCTCTGCTACCTTTTGGTGGTGTTGATTGTTTTATTATTAAAGCTACCCTTTGTTGGTGTTGTGTTTCAGTTCACAGTAAAGATCCATGGCTCCTTCACTCCATGTTGACCCCATACAACACGCAAGAGATTCTATAGGCTATGGTGGCTACTGGCGATCAGGTGAGCCAATGCCTGTTTGCCATCCTTTTTAAATAAAAGAACTTATGCCAGTTAGGGCTATAATTGTTTAAGCTAAATAGTAGGTTCATAATTATTTCAATTATCTTTAAAATTTAATTGTAAATTTGTTACATTGCATGCTTACATCAACTTAATTATTAATAACATAATCATAAATAAAAGAAGTAGACTGATTTCAAATCAAGAGTCAATTATGAATAATAACTAGGACAAATTACTTTTTGGTGAACTTAATACAGCTTAAATAACGAATGGGCTGCATGATAATTTTCAAAAGGCACAATAAAGATTAGTGTAAACATGTGTGAGTGAGTACAACCTACAACTGCCTTAATTATATGGATTAATTTGTATAATCACCTACAAATATGAATGTTATGACACTAGTATTCATAAGTAAGGCTAAAATGTACTTTCTGGACCCACAAGTTGATACTTCACACTAGTTTAGGTTACTCTTGGGACCATAATGCGAAGTGCCAAAATAAAATCTTAGTTTGAGCTTTTCAACAATAAAATGAGAAGTTTCACCCAGAAAGTACAGTATTACTGTAAGTTAACTTTCATCAAGATTACACAGGGACAAATTGATATCCTATGTACAGATCATTATTGTCATAAGCTTAGACAATATATAGTAAATGTAATTTTACAAAGTAAATTTGTAAACACTTGATAAGTCAGGCATGTTGTGTAGGTTATTCCAATTATTTTTAATGTTGGGTATATCAAATTTTCCAGGGTAGAAGATAATTAACCTTACATTAAGCAGACATTTATTTACAGTAAATATACTTATTACAATATTAACTTCAATATACATTTTGCATTTATGATGAAAGTAAAACTTGTGATCTTACTCCAGTTGGTTTTTGAAACCGTTTCAGTAAGATTAGAGTGTTTCCATGATTGTGTGCCATCACTTTTGTCTAACTCGATTTTGTTAATTGAAGGAGCTTTCAGAATGGAAATAGAGCGTGAATATGAATCAACTTTGGTTCAGTTACAGCAAAATGATATCATTAATCACACATTTTGGTGAAAAATATTTACTCTAATGTTCTTTGTGGATTTAAGAATCAGTGTGTACATTCATGTTTAAAGAATCACGAAGAATGTTATCAGAATCTGCGCAATCTTTTCTAATCTTCCGTTATCTTGGAACCCGGCTCGACCGACTCAACACACGACGCCTCTCGGCGTTCGTGGCAAAAAAACCAGTCTTGGAAAAGTAGAAACGACTTCAATTACTGCATTTTGATTATATCAACTCACCTGTATTCCACAACAAACTGACAATCAGCAAAACCGTAATCCAATAGATGTTACTGACCACTGATCCTATTACAACGAAGACACAACAAACATTCTATAACGAACACTTAAACGTAGTCACCACTTATAACACAAAATTTACACTTTAAGAAAATATACAGGTAAATTTATTTGAATACACTTTATAAACACCGAATTATGTAAACTTATTTAATTCAACACAAAATTCGGCTAAGACAATTCGCGTCTTCTCAATTTGAATCATCGGCCATCACTAAAAATGTTGCCACTAAACAAGCACAAGTCACGTATTACAAACTCACGTGTACTTTTGTTACCATTTGGTACTACGAAAATACCACTGAATATTAAAGAAGTATTTTTATTAATACTCTATATAACAACTAACATATTGTATGAATATAAAATCAACCTTTATTTCCGATATATTCAGTCAACTTAAAATTATAATCGCAGAGTTCTTAGTTACGCTCTCACACCTAAAAAGATAATTAATTTCCAATAAAAAAAACACTACATCGGTACTTCTGGACATTACTGTACATAAATTTTCTTAGATTTTCTCTTTCTGTCTGGAACACAAGATATTAGTAGCGGAAAGTTTAAAAGATGCCAGAATACATGAGAGACGAATAATACTGCTGGATAGACCTAGAAAACGCACTTGGTTCGGTACAGCATGAACAATGATCTTCGCTTTGAAGTGGTAAAACTTTCTTTCTGTAGTCATCGACATAATCACACCATATTACTCACAATTACAATTTGTCATAGCAACAAACAAGGAATACACAAAACCATTGCATTATAATGTAGGGCTGTTTCAGGGTTGCTGCCTGTCACCAATAGCATTTAATATAATTGTAAATATTCTTATAGACAAGCTGATAAGTCATGAGAAAATATGGGGCTACAAGGGTTTACAATAAACAATAAATTCACAGAGTCCATCTTAGATTTTGCAATACGACCATTAAGCAATATTAAAGAAGTTTGGATATACGACAACTATCTTACGTCACGTTTGCCTTTTTGACTACATATTCAGCATTGGGCTAAGCACTTTACACAAAATACCAAAATTTTTAGTTCTGTAACTCATTCCGTTTACAATCTAGAGACCCGTCACATACGGACAAAGACAGACGACACAGTGACAGCAATAGGATTCCATTTTGACCCTTTGGGTATAGAACCCTAAAAATGTATAAAAGTTTTATTGCATTCTTAATGTTAAATATATATATATATATATATTATTAACAAATAATTAAAAAAACATGTTAAAAAGAGTTACATCACTTACATCCTTTTCTTATGTAAAACAACAAAAATTAAATGTGGGGGTCCACATCAAAACGTTACATTTACATCCTTAATGATTTTACACAATTTGAGAAAGACGAATAAGTGATGAATGCTTATAGCATTCATGACTTATATATTATTTAATAGTAGCGTTTTGGTGAAATCATTGTAAAAATGTTACTTTTTCCATGTGATTTACTAACAAATGTAACTTTTTGGTATGTATAAAAAAAAGACATTTTAATTAATGTATTTTATTATAAAAACCTAAATTCAGAGGGAACAATCTTCTTTAGCGCATAAAATTGTTACGTTTTGGTGCAGCTTATTGATTTCATAGCGCTGTAGTTCGAAATTGAACGCGTTTTGTTGCAACTTCAATAGAGTTTTCGATAGAATTCAGGAATTCGAAGCGATCTGCATACTCAACTCATTTTCTGAACTATGTCAAATGGTGTGGACCTCCACAAATGCGGTAAAGACAAGAAGACGATTATGAATGGATCTAGTAGATTCTGTCTTAAATTTAAATCTAACCAAAACATAAGATTACTTAAGTGCCACGATAACGTATTGATTTCTTTTGTTTCATTTAAATGAATGAATTATTGAATAACTACTTTTTTAAGCGATGTACTGAAAAAGAAAAGACCCTTTTAACATGGTAATAATTTGCGCTTGCAACTCTTTTCTGCTTGTCAACTTCAAACTGTAGGTTACGTTCCGAGACCACCTTTCAAATAACTATTTATATTTATTTTCTAATTTCAATTACATTATTGACTTGTCTTGCGGATGTTTATACATAAGATTGTGGGCTTGGCCTGGCAGAATATAATGTCGAATATCGCAATAAATGCAATATCATCACAACGAAGCGCCAGCCCGGTCCGTGACCACGTTCCATCCATGACCATCGTTTGTAAGTATATATGCTTTAAGGCGCGTATTACAGAATGACAACTAAGTGTTGATCTTTACTCTACAGTTAGAAAGGGGTGTCGTTTTCACTTCAATATCAACTTACATGAATCACATAAGCGCACCTAGCGACATCTATTGTATAAAAAAATGCATTTTCTTCGCAATAAAGCTGCCACCCGGACGTCCTAGACAGAGACTTATAAAATAAAATATTACAATGTTTCGTCCAATATATTGAAAATCAACAACCTTTGCAATTTTATTGTTTTCGTCTTACTATTAGGACACGTGTCTTGTGATGCGATTAGCCCACGTGTCATGACGCGAGTTTAATATTTTTTACCCATACAAAAAAAAGTGTACAAAGACCCTAAAGAAGTTCTCACTTCAAAAAAGAAAATCACAATCAATGAAAACCACATAAAATTTGATATTACAATCATCAAAAGCAAGCAACAATCAAAGCTTACCAAAAAAACATAGCTTTAACTACAAATTTATAGCAGTAGATACCTATAGTAAATTGTGAACACGAAAGAACTGAGGGCCCACCAATCGAATGGATTTTCTTTATTTGTAGTCACTCAACAGAGCTCAAATTGATGTACGTAGAGTCCTACAAATTACCTTCTAAATATTACCAACATCGAAATTATTTGAATTGGTCAAATATAGTATTATGAACTTTGAGGCGTTTCGTCTGAAAGCTAACATTCGGTGAGTCCGAAGCGTTTGACTTATCAACAGCTACGTCCTGCTAAATCTTTATGTATACGAAACCTATGTTTTTCACTATGGCTCCTCGGAGGACAAGCACATAATTCGCCGCCGTGGAATAATAGCTTTCCTGCCCTTAAAGGAAAATCAGTCCTTTCCCGGGACTCAAAACTATCTCTATACCAAATTTCATCTTAATCGATCAAGAAATTTAAGTGTGTGTGGTGGTGTTAGTGGTGGTGAAATTTAGGTATGAATCTTAGATTAAATCAATTCATTACATCTTTTTGATATACATCTAAGATAATCTAGGGTATGGATACATTTACTATCTGTGTGTCACACGATGCATTTAAGCGGTTGACTTTTTGGTGTCGATTCTGGCGTGATTCTTTTAACTTTCCATCCTGCATAGAGAATGACAAGGGCACACAGTTGTTTTTTTTTTTTTTTTATAAAAAGCACACAGTTGTTATATAAGTTTAGTTTAGAGAATAATCGACAGCTCTGTGCACATAAGGACTTATCATCACTTCACACAATAACAAAGTCTAAGGGTGCGGCCAGAGTGCACTCAGATTCAGATTCTGAAAACAAGCGCGAGAAATAAACAGTGTAATCTAAGCAAGTTGCCTGCTTTTTCTCGCGCTTTGTTTTCTGAGTCTGAATCAGGAGTGCACTCTGGCCGTACCCTTCGACTACACTATTTATTTCTCGCGCTTGTTTTCGGAATCTGAATCTGAGTGCACTCTGGCCGCACCCTAAGCCTGTCATTCAGAAATCGTTGTAAACATTCCCTAGATGCTTTAGATTCAAAACTGGACGCTGTAGATAAATAAATTAATATTCATAACACTCACACCAATTGGCCTAGCCCAAAAGTAAGCACTGTAAGGCTTATTTTGGGATAATAGGGTAACGGATAAAATACATAATACTGATGCATATAGTGCTGCAGTCTGGTTCTAGGGGATTTTTATATTTTTATCCGATTTCAAAAGAAATGTTTTTAAGTTAAATAAAATTTTCGATCGAAATAGTTTGAAGAACTATTGATACACTGGAGTCGATTCTGGCATGATTTTATAAACCTAAACATAAATTTGACAACAGTGTATCATTGTCATTCTCGATACAAAATGAATAGGAGAGACTGATGTTAAACTTGTTTTAAATTTAGAGAAACATACCAGAATCTACACCAGTATCGGTATTGTGACATTTTCCAAAGTAGCGATAGTGGTGTCGATTCTAGCATGATTCTCTTTAACTAAACTTAAATTTGACAACAGTGTATGCTTGTCATTCTCTATACAGAATGAAAAGGAGAGACTGATCTTAAATTTAGTTTTTATTTAAGTTTAGAGAATCACGCCAGAATCGACACCACTATCGGTAATCCCATCAATTGCTGTAACGTAAAAGGGCTGCTGTAATGCTACACCAAAGCCTATAATGAACATTATCAGGTAAGGAAAGCCGGTCGCAAATCTGCAAGTATTTTATCATAAAAAGTAAATAAAACCAAGGCTTTATAGAATACCAAATAAATTTATTTTTAACAATTCCACCGCAGCTAAACAAGTCGCAACAACAGTACACATTTTAATGTCGGAATAATATGATTTTGTAAATATTGTTACTTATGATTTTTCCAATAATGTGATAGATAATATACTCCTTTTTGGACAAAAAAAAATACATTTACAACTACTACAACAAATATACAGATGTAGGTAAATTAGATAAAGTATAAAATTCTAACGTCAATGAGTTTTATTCAATTATATTTATTTAATGACCGCGAAAATGGAAGGGATACATCACCTCCGTTATAGCAAGTATAAAAAAGTATTCTTGAACAATTTCAAGCGAAAATAATGTGTACAATACCCTGACATAGACATTAAATAAATAACGTATTAATATTAAAATCAGTTTTGAAAAAAAAAAAATGTTTTTTCACTTAAATATTATTACTGCAGATAGCCGCGTTTAGTTGAAATTTCATGGTTTTACATTTAAGCAAAATTTAATAAAAGGTATTTTACTATGGCAGGGCAGTGTACAGACCTTATAATATAGGCACATTTTTCATTAATACTAACAAACAAATTCTCAAATCGAGATACTATTTAAAAAAGAGTTACCAGTCAAACATAAAAAAAATAAGTTTAGCAGAGATTTATTAAATTATAGGGATTTAGTGCTGCCAAAACAGAAAAAATAATTTTATTT